AAAAATAGAATGAAATGATATGCAAACCATGTAAAACATATTTTTAAAGGAAAAGACAACATATCAAATGTTGAAACATTTTTTTGAAAAATATATGCCCATTTTGAATTTTAATGCCAACAATACATTCCAAAAAAGTTGGGACGAGGGCATGTTTACTGCTGTGTTCCATTTACTTTCTTTTAAGAACACTTTTTTAAGAACACTCTGTAAGCATTTGGGAACTGAGGAGACCAATTGCTGTAGTTTTGAAAGTGAAATGTTTTCCCATTCTTGTTTGATATAGGATTTCAGTTGCTCAACAGTTTGGGGTCTCCTTTGTTGTATTTTTCATTTCATAATGCAGCAAATGTTTTCAGTGGGTGACAGATCTGGACTGCAGGCAGGCCAGTTTAGCACCCGGACTCTTTTAATACGGAGCAATGTTGTTGTAATACGTGCAGAATGTGGTTTGGCATCATCTTGCTGAAATAATCAAGGTCTTCCCTGAAAAAGACATCATCTGGATAACAGCATATGTTGCCAAAACATGTATCTATTGTTCAGCATTAATGGTGCTTTTACAGATGTGCACGTCACCCATGCCACGTGCACTATATGTTCTCTTTGTACTATTTTCAATGAAATATAGGGTTTAAATGATTTGCATATCATTGCATTTTGTTTTTATTAACATTTTGCACAGTGTCCTAACTTTTTTGAAAACAGGGTTGTAGTTTTAACATTGAGCTTAGTAGTTACTAAACATTTAGCTACACCTCCCCCTAAGCAGGTGTCAGTGCTGTGGAAACCATCAGAAACCACAGAATGTAGAAAGCACAGAAAAGACCATAAACATGATTTGTTTGGTTAACAGACAATGACTACAGATAATTAGGTTTATTCAGTTTAACTTGTACTCATCGTTCTCTTCTATGTGGGATATTTTTTTCATTGAAAAAGTCAGCGCAGGCTGGCAGCGGGTTTACTGATTGGTTCTGTACATGTTACCGTCATGTTAAAGCGACATACACATTAGTTAGTTGTTACTAGGTAAGACATGACTAACGGATTTGTGGTGCAACCAAATTAAGTAAAAGGATAGTTTGAAACTAACTAGTGTAAACTAAGGACTTAGTAAAGACTTTAAGCACAAACCTAAGTATAAACTTTCACAAACCTGGTGCAACCCACTGCTGGTCCATAACTTGGCTTTACTAAATAACTCAGAAATGGCATACAAAAACAAAGGGAAAATGGCACTCAGGGTAGCACTCTGCTCTCACTGCTAGCTTGCTTGGCTACTCTTGTTTACTGCTAGGCTCACACTGTTTACCTGTGCACACAGCCCTGCCCATTAAAATAAGAGTCCTCACAACAAAAGGCTAAATAACTACTACTTAACAGAATAAACTGAGCTCACTCAGGTGTGATCTGATGCCACAATATTATTTCATATCAACTGCAGTCCCCAGTATCGAACTGAACTGCATTACATCATGGCGAATTTTCAGGTATGGAAAATCATCAGATCGTTGGGAACAACAATCAAAGCAAATTCACATCACTGATTTACACAAGTAGTTCACAGTCCACAAGTCTGTGCACCCTTAATGAAGACCTCAATGTGGCTTAAATGGGTCAAAAAAAGTTTGGGGCATGCATTTACACAAAAGATTCGGATGACTGTTGAATTCTAGTGTTTGTTAGCATTAGTCTCTTAGTTCCAGTTCTAAACTAAAGAAGCAATATTTGGACAACAAAAATGTCTTGGCTGATTGACTACATCTGGGGTAAGTGAAAAATTGTGCAAATTTGTTTTTTTGCCGAAGCACTCCTTTGAATCTAATCCCACAGCAGCACCTGTGCAGAATGAGTCTGTGCTGTGCTCCACTGGCTCATCTCTGATACACTGGTGCTCAAAGGCAGAGGCCAAACCTGCGCAGCCCCTGCAGTGGACCAGAGAAGTGATTAATCACTACAGCCGTAATCATGCCCAAAGGTCCGACTTTAATTAAAAACAAAGTTCTCCTTTCATTATTCCAGTCGAATTGAACGATGATAAGGCCCTTCCCCCACTCCCCATGCCTGCTTATTTTCCACTATAACCTACCAATACACACACACACACACACACACACACATGTTCATGAAGCTTAAAGAGGGAGAGAGCACACTGCACACTAGAGTAGCTCTACAGGTAAGCCAGAGGAGAGTCTGCCAGGCTTAACTGGGGAGTTTGCTCAGTAAACACAGGGGCAGATATTTCAGTAAAAATAGGTGACCCACATGTGCGATGTCTCAAGACAAGAATGATATGATGAAGAGAAGCAGAGTGTCTGGCTGCGTGAATGTTCTAACGTCCACTCATCCACTGCTAAATGACCATAGCTTTTTTGAAAGGGGAAGTTCACTTTTTATGTTTTAATCTGACATATGCATATGGACACACACATGTATATACTTACTGTCCACTTGTATTTACAGTCTGTGACTAGTGGACTGATTTATTGTTCTACTAAGTCTACTAACCTTATGGATGGACCTTATGTATATAAAATACTGTGCAAAGGTCAGATGCCACACCTGATTTATTTAATATCCAGTAAAAACGGTCAGTAAGTATAAGTTAATTTTTCAGCATCAGGCAAAAAGCATAACACATATAATTACCAAAAAATGACAAAGAAGCTTTAACAATGATATATAATAAAAATATTTTGCATTTAATCTGCCTACCCTTTGCTGTAAATTGCAGCTTCCATTATTTTCATGATACTTGCTTTGAATTTTTCAAAGAAATCTGCAAATTTAGTTTTAGAAGTTGATTGCATTTTCTGCTTCTCATGTTTTAAGTATTCACAAACACACTGAAGTCTGGGTTCTAGGTACTTATTTTTGGTTTCTGAGAACATCAGCGGCTTCTTTGTTTTTGTATCTTTGTTAATGGCATTTATCTATAGAGTTGACTTCTCACAGTGGAAGGATGGAGAGAAACACCTGTGAATGTTTTCAGATCTGAAGCAAGGGTGGAACTTGTTTTCTCCTCTCTCTCAAGAATGAAAGGTTTAAGTACTGTTAATCTGAAGGTGAGAGTTTTGGTGGTCTACTTGTCCTTGCATCACTGTTTCATTTTATCTTTTAATATTTTTTAAACTCAGTTTTGTAAAGTCCAGTTTTTTCACATATTTTCCTTTGACCTTTCCCTTCTTTATTCAAGTGAATTACTTAATATGGTAGAAATATGTCCTGAAAATGAATAACTTGTATTGAATGGCTGTTTTGATTAGAAATTTAGCAACTCAAGGCCTCTGATGTTTAGACGGAACTGTAGATACAGTCCTCCTGTTGTTGCACCATTTATCAGCCTATTCTACACTAGCCATCAAAGGAAGGGGAGGATCATTATTATTTTAGTAGTCTCACCACAGTAGTGACATCAACATGTTAGTGTGTATTGTGCTGGTGTAAGTGTTACAGGAACAGCAGTGCTGTTTGGGTTTTTAAACCCTGTATATAATTTGACACACCCCTCTTGTTGGTACATTTCATGGGTAAACAGTCATAGCTAGTTCATCTTTTTCCATGCACAGTTCGTGTTAGTCCACCTTTTTATCAGTGGTCATTGTTTGTCCAAAGGACCACTGTGATCACAGGACATTTTTGGTTGGTGAAGTAGTCTCAAATTGTCCAACCAAAATTGTCATATGGTCATATTGGTCCTAATAATAAAGGCGACAGTTTTGGCAGTCTACCAGCCCTTGCATCACTAAGTTAAGATTTGCCCATTTTATCTTGTAATAATTTTTTCCTGTTATTTCAGGAAATGCTGCCGGACCTAATAATCTTCTATTAGCGACTCACATGCTAATACCATGTCAGTGTCTGCCATGCTCAGAATGATTCACTCCCAAAAGAATAACTGATCAATAATATCCATTGTGGTACCGTTCCATTGATGGCCAGGTTAGAGGATGGCTGCAAAATTGCACAGCAATGGTTGGGCCAGAGTCAGTAATTGTAAACCCTTGTAATATGCTATATTAGTATAATAAAGCATATCAGGCCAAACTGAAGCCATGGACTCATACTACAGTCAGCATGTTGAGAAACCGTAGTGAACTTAATGGGCTCCAAATACATACACTTGGGCTAAGAACCCTTCTTTGAAACATATTCCTAATATATGCTTTTACCTAAATTCATTCTTTAACACAATCACAGACTTGTTTCAAATATTACAGAATATATAATAAGAAAGGAGTTCAGTAGTGTGAACCTCTTGATAGAGAGAAGGCTCATACTCTGGTAATGACGGCCTACATGAATAATGGCTACTGCGTATCTTTGAGGTCTTAGTCAAATCCCTTAAAATGGTAATTTACAAAGAGGATTGGCTCAAGGCTTTTGTCATTCGTCACCTGGCTGGGAGGATCCTCTGTATTTTTAGATCGTTGATAGTGTAATAAGAAGAATTGGTGGATATGTTCCACTAATATAAAAGGAGTCCAGCTTTTGAGCGGAAATTCAGCGGTGTGGAGATGGTTATATGAAATCAGAAAGCGCATTAGGTGCATTTCCATCACCAAGAAGCAAAGCCTGCAGTGCTGTCCACGAGAAAGTCCATGAAAGTGTCCAATTCTGAGCACCATCAAGCCACTCCAAAATGACGCTATGGCAGCAGCGTGTTCCGGTGTAAGGCAGCCATGGAAAAAGCATTATTTGCTCCCCACAATCAAATTCAATTCACATCGCGAAGCATTCGCTGTTGCCACAGAAGGCAGCTGTGGTGAAACAATAGAAGACCCACAGTGCAGCCAAGTGCTTCAAATCAAAGACAGAAACCTCTCAATCTTCACCAAAAGATGTTTGATTGCATGCCCAATCAACACCAGTCCCAACCATAGTCTCCTGCATCTGCCTGTTTCAAGAGCTAATGCATGCATGCCATCTCTGAATGTGCGCTAAACGAGGAAAGGTCAAAAACAGACAGGAAGTGGGCAGAGAAAAAATATTCTTACCTGATTCTGGACCACCTATAAAAAGAGAAGAAGAAAAAAAATCACAAAGTCAGGACAGACTGTAAAAACATTCTTTGCCCAAAGTCAAAAAAAGAACAAGAGTTAATGCAAATCTGTTCATATCTGTAGACTTTTCTGTCACACTGTTACCAACTCTTTAGACAGGAAAAACATTGCAAATTGTGACAGAATAAGGTCATTATCACTGAAGTGCTGGCTAAATCCAGTAGCGTAAGCCTGTTTCACAATGATCAGTAGGATATTGTGCTCACCACCTTGATGTCTTTAAAGAATTAGTGAGGTCAAATTTAGCATAAATTAAACCACTGTATATCATGCATTGTATTCTTCACATAAAAGGAAGCAGCCAACTCAAAGTATTGTAAATATGTTTGTGAGACGAGAAAAAGGGCCTATCAAACAGAATAGCTTTATTACTCAGCATTGAAATATGACTAATTTACATACCACATTCCTCGCAAAAATGAGAAAGATTCATTTTCCTCTGTTTGCAAACTCTGAATATGGAAGTGGCATTGTGGCCTAGCAGGCAGAAGAGCCAGGAAATGAGAGGAATTCTGTCTGCAAGGCCTCGGGAAACATTACCGAGAGTTGATTGGACATGTTTTATGTCTTAATCAAAAGCTTAAAGGGTATAACCAACAGTCATCTTGCACAGAAGGAAAAAATTGCCCTGTCTAAAATCACAGTACTCTGATGTCTTAAAATTCTATGAACCCATGAGAACAGATTCAGTCAAGAGGGAAAAAAGAGCTCTTTACTCAAGAAGTTAGTGAATGAAAAGCACAGAATATTGATCTGCTATAACTTTTAATGGGCTTAATATATAATCAATTTTGAGCCATTACCCTAAATTAAGCCCCAAGCATTACTGTAGACCTGTAATATTGCTAAATTCTTCTCTGGCGAATAATGGAGGGGATGTGGAAAGCTCATCTGGCAGACGTTTCAGCACATTAAGCTCTTCAACGATGCACAGGAGCTCCAAGTGCGTGGGGACAATTAGGGGAAACCTCATCATACAATGCAGCTTTGATCATACATCTAACCTCAGCATGACTGAAACAGGAACTCAGAGTTGTGAAGCTCTTTCTATAGCGCAGCTCTGACATAACTGGGTTGAGTTTTGTAGTGTTGCTAAGAGAAGGCCATTTTCAGTGGCAGACTTTGTCCCTGTATACTATATACCTAGTCATTTCATGGGACCACACGTAACCAAATACACTAATCGTCTTAAGCTGATCGTCATGTGGCACACAATTTGCAGATCATAACACAACAACAAACTGCTGATGTTTCTCATTTCCAGCTTTTCTGTGTGAAAAGTGGTCACTACCTCAAATATTGCAATTCTGTACACCGTTGTTAATTTTCTTAAACTTAGAGGAAATTCATCAGTTGATGTATACAAGAAGACAGCTGTTTAAAAGGTTGTGGTTATAGACCATGTGCATTACGACGTAATGTATTTAAAGAGTTTTGATTGTCTAATATGGTTCGGACAGACAATGTATTTACACGCAAACAAAATTTGGCTAAAATGCGAAAATGCGTCTTATACCACCTCCTGGTTTCAGAAATTGTATTTAACCCCTTCAATGGCCGTGACTCATGAGCAGGTCCAAACATCTCTTACATACTGTTTTAACTACAGTATGCATGCTATGCATCTGTGAAGCTACCCCCAATGTGGGACTAATAAAGGATTACCTTAGTCCATGTAGTTACTGAAAAATTAGCTTTTTTATGTTTATATGTTTGCCCTGAAAAAAAAGTTCTTTGCCTCACAGCAGATTTGGTGCAGTCAGCGAAGGTACATGACCAATGGCAGCATGCAGCCATGTAAACACTGCCAAGGTGATAGCATTACTGGAATAACAGCTGCTTTCTTGCCTGTGTGGGGGGTGATGGTGTTAGCCACTATTTAACCTTAAGAAAGTGTTCTAAAAACACACTAATATTTCTAATGGTGTGTTTTCATTGATGTTTGGTTTTGTTGTCCTTGTTTTCCATAACAATGGAGGCCAGTTAAGGGGTTAAATTTGTTTTAAAAGTGTGCTGGGTGCATTTCACCTGTATTTATACATACGCATAGTTCCTATCCTAACGTAATCCTAACACTCAAAATGAATGAAATAACCAGGTGCAATTAGGTTTTTCATTTGCAGAAGTTGCCATCTAAGCTGTTACACATGTGAAAGATAATGTGCCTCATTCACCAATATCTTTTTGTTTTAAGTTTAAGTTTAAATTTTTTTTTTTTCTTAAATTTGTTCTCGAGAAAGGTCCTAAATTGTTCACACCTTTGTGCTCTGGTGTGTGCACAGATTCTGTTCTTACCTAAGAACAAATCCTAAATGAATAAACGTCAGAATCTTTGTGAAAATACTGTAAGTGGGTTTTAAGAAGGAATATCTTGGTGAATGAGGCCCAATCTTAGTAGATGCTTGTCGATAATTTCATTTTTACCAAAATTTCCCGTATACTCAATAACAGTGGATAAACATCTGCACCTCTGAAAGAACCAAAGGTTTTCCCTGCAATATTCTGCCTCTCCCAACCAATTCCTTCACTCGAATTAATAAGTGTGTGGCTCCCTCCCAAGCAGAGAAAGCATGCTCCATATGCAGCTGAACGAGGGACACATTGTAGCTAGCCAGCTTCCCTTCACTAGCCCTCCCTATCAGCTCCAGCAGCTGCTCCCTCAGCAGTGCACACACCCTACAGGTCACTCTCACACTAGGACTCAAGGGGCTTTACGGCTCCGCCAGGTCCTGCAGTAAACAAGCGCTTTTTCAAGAAAAAGGAAAAAAACAACAACATTGGCTTTTCACTTCTAATCCACCTGTTATGAGAAAGAGAGATGGAAAGAGAGCAAGAGAGAGAAAGAGAGAGATAAACACATAGACAGGGAGAGAGACAGAGAGAGAGAGACAGAGAGAGAGACAGAGAGAGAATGAGAGAAGCTATAGATATCACACGGAGTCACGTTACATTTACAGGTTAATAATTACACAGACAGATGGGAAGATGCATTGATTGGACAGGTGTTCTGTAGCTGTCCACACAGAGACGGTAAACTATTGTTCATCTGCACATAATTGCTGGCATCTTTCAGAGCGCTTCATACTTTTCTGCACTCACTAATGGTGGAAGTCTTATGAAAAAATAAAGAGCGTTACCTCAGCTGGAGCCATGGAGAATGCTAAAAGAGTTGGCTCTTTATGAAGCCCAAGTCGGCAGCGATAGGCTAAGTGCACTGTGCAATTGAGTAGCGTTTCAGCACTGGCAGTTCTGTAATTTGCTATCTGAAGCAGACATATCATTTAATGATTTGTTAGATGTCTGCTCTGCTGTAAACATTTGTGTCAGGGTTAGCAACTGAGAGCAGTGCAAAACAATGAGGACGACCTGGGTTCAACATTAGCCTGTCATGCTGTAATTGCAATGTTATGTTATGGTAAGAGCAAAAGGCAGAGGCAGCCTGACAATGCTGAAGGATGCAGGACTTTGATATCTAAAAAAGAGCTTTTTATATAAAAGAATACTCTTTGATACAAGCAAACTTTTGATATAAAAGAGTGATGTTTCTCACGATCTGGGAGCTTTTCTAAGTGGCTCGGGATAAAAGCTTCTGCTAAATAAATAAATGAATGTAAATGTAAGTAAAAAACTCTACTGCCTGACATTAATACGATTACTATGAAGTAAATGGTCTTGGCACCACTGCCTGCCACAGGCTTCAGAAAGATGAGAGATTTTCCAAATTACTGACATTTAGCTGTACAGACTGAAAAAGCACTTCATGACTAAAAGGGTTAGCTTTACTTTTCAATGTAGAGGGGGAGCTAAATTCAACCAGTGTACTATGGAATAATCCCAGCATACACGGAATCGCATCCCTGAGCAATACATGAATTTCACTAATCACATTCAATTAACCAAGGAAGAAATTCCAACTCATATGATATATGATAATCATTTGCCTAATGATTATCAGCCTTTTCTTTGTGCTTCGGTTGGGTTCAGGGATGAATCAATTTTGACTAAATACGCACAGCTAGATGCCCAGGCTTATTGCATCCTAAGTTTAATTATTCTGTAACTACATGAAAAACAATCCATAAACAGTTATAGGAGTGAGGAATGGTAGCCTAAATTCTCCAGATGGACATGGGTGTTTAAGAAGATTTTAAGAAATGAAATAAACAACTATGGATTTGTGCTATCAAAACAAATCAATTATTTGTCTAGAACTGTCCATTGTTACTGGTTTGATTTGTGTTTACTGAAAGTTGTCTTGTAAAAGGTCAGTTTCCTTCACTTCCTTTTCTGATTTCTTGAACAAGCTCCAAATCCTGGCACTGCAGCAATATATTGGAAAAACGGCACCTAAAAAAAATCCTTCCATTTTTTTACTCAAAGGGAGACCACAGAACAGGTACAAAAAAAAAGAAAAAATAAGCCTGTGTTTCTCTCAGACTGATCAATCTAGCAGCGTTTGATCTGGCAGCACAGCCAGGGGCCAGGCTGAGAAAAATGAGCCAGTCCCTTCAGCAGTCTAAAGTGGCTCCAGCCTGCATTCGTTTCCCTTTCTCTTAGTCTCCTGCAATAGCACAAGACAGACATGGTGTTTTCTGCTCTAAAGCCTGGCAGCATAGCCGACATGCTGGGAAGTCGCTTTCGCACTCACTTTTGATTTGATTTTGTGGATGTCGTTTGGACAAGCGTTTTTTGTTTTGTGTCTTTTCAAATGACATGATGTCGTTTCATTCAGTCCAACCTAGAATCATTAACAAAACTGATCACGAATTGGGTCGAAGCCTTCTTCATTCTACAGTAATTAACACCACCTCTCCTTTCTCAAGAATTGATGCCTTCATCTCTCTGGCCATTACCCACAGCGTCTTTGCCTCAGCTAAATGCAGACCCCAGGACCTTGCCATTTACTTTTAAAAGGCTTGATCAATGCCTAAAGGTAAGAACAGACCAGC